CTCTTGTCAGCTTAAAAGGTTAAATAGTGTATAATGTTATTAAAGGATGTGTCAAACAGTAAGATAATTGATTAAAAAACTCAATAAAAATTCAAAAAAAGTTATTTACCAAGCCTCTCTTTATTTCGTCCCAAAATCCTTGGTCAGATTTTAACTCATTTATCTCCTCTCTTCCACTCACATCTTTAAGTTCATCAGTTGATGAAGAGGATAAATATAGAGAAAGTATATCATAAGCATCTCTTCTCTCCAATGACCCCAGAGAAAATAATAACTTACAACATTTCCATATTTTCATAAAAAATTCCTTCCTGTAAAACCAGCAAAAATATCAGTATAAACAGGACTAAGAGACTGACAATACTGACGATTTGCAAAGCTGGTATTATGGTCTTGCTAATACAAACTTATATACCTGGTCAATACACGAGGCGTCCCAGGAGCTGCAACTTGGAAGCTATGATTATGTGCAAATGATTTAAATATAAATGGAAGAAGAAATCTGATCGCCGAAGATCGATGCTCAAAACTTTGAGAAAGCATTTGAAGACTCAGATTACAAAGGTCCCATAGCATATTCCCAGCAAACAAAATTGCTTGGGACCCATTTGTTGAGGTTGACCCAGAAACAATTCCTTCGTGTTTATTCCGAAGAGCAGCATCCAGAGTCAAAGTTAATGTATTACAAGACATAGATAATGGAAAATCATATGAGTTAGAAACTGAAAAATCTGTAGGTATATACTTTTCAGTCAATTTGCGGCGAGAATTATCGAAAGATTTTGAGCTCAAATCCTTGTCAATGGAACGCTCAAAAATAGTATGGCCGCTCCAGTTATATATTGCCAACTCTGCACTTTTAAATACTCCCATTGATTGGCCAATTGATCTTAACATGAGAGGCACCACCGTTTCTTCAAGAACCTCCCAGCTGTCTGTTCCGATTATAACATCAAGGAACAAACTTGTAACCTAAATCGAGAATAGGATAATATGAATGATGAATCTGCTATGGACAAAATTTTGCATGTTCGATGCGAAGAGTATATACTGAATGCTTTACCTCATTAAATAGCTCGTAGTCATATGTATGTGTTAACTTCAATAAAGGAATCCACACTTTCCAAACAAACGTATGCATGTGATGAGTACCTACAGGAAAGAAAAAGAAAATCTGGTAAACAATTAACAAAAGCAACAGCCCTAGTTATCTAATCTCAGCTGACAAACTAATGTTCTTTATCTCAGTCCTCAGGAACCTTTTGACACACTTCATCATAACCAGTTTTTGCAATTCCATGTCCAACTTAGAACTACAATTTGAATGCCATTCGTTAACAATTATTAGCATTGAACCTCACGAGAATATTTCAACCATCACCGAAGTTTGGTTAAAGATTACAGCATTTCCAATTACAGATAACCAAAAAAATAAATTAAACATTCTGGAAGAGAAGTGGACACTGTTTTAGATGGCAGTATAAACTCACCAGACTTCTTTAGGAAGTGAGAAAGGGCGGCAACATAGGTCAAAACACAGTTACGCCACTCACTCTCCACCATTTCACTTTCTTGTTCAATAACCTGCAAAATAACATAATCCTGGTCACTCGAAATGTTTTCCTTATTAGTCTAAGTCGTTACTTTTACCATTTAAAAATAAAATTAAATAACTAACAGAAAAGTATATACGAAAAAGAGTTTTAAAATATTACCCAGATGATGTACCAAGATTGCGCTCAAGTTCAGGCTATTCAGATTTGAATAGGGGTTTTAGGACAAAGATTTTGAATGCTCTAAATATTATAGGTTTTTAAATCCACTATAATAATGGGGAAAAAAGGCTCAAAGTTGGTGCTAAAAAATAATTCAAAATCCCTTTTAACTTGGAACTACCACACAAGCCTAATAGGTTTGAAATTATGAAATTGAAATAATTAACTCCCAAGTCCTTCAATTCATGGAAGAGTGGGGGGGTTTAACTTTTGGTTGTTCATAGATAGTTAAAGCAAATGGGGCTCAAATTAACTTTCTGCTTAACTTCTATCACGTTTGTTTCGTATAACAATTTACAACTAATAAATGAAAACAAAAATGGGGTATTTGAATGTATGAACAATCGTATATACAGACCTTAATGAGATTGGGAAATTCATTGGCAAGGTCAGAGAAAAGTGAAGATGGAGATACGGCGGTGGCAGCGAGTATACAATCCATCATAGCCGGAATCGCAGCCGGAGGTACCCGCCGGAAACTGCTCCAGATTGATGCAACGATAGTCTCCATGGAAGACTAGTAGTCTTCTACGGTTGCCCGAAATTCACAACGCGCTTAAACCCTACAAGAAAAATAAGCTTAAGGTTTAGGGGATGTACGGTGCATTCCTAGTGGGGATTTTTACTTCCACAATTTTCATTTAATTTTTGGGGTTATATGACAAACACCCGTCAATGAATTTTGACTTCTTAATAAATCCGTGTTTTTTAATTGATTTTTGTTATAAGTCCAATTGACTGAAATTATCCAAAATGCCCCTATTTAATATTATTGAAAATTGCCATATTATATTATTTTTGATAAATCCATTATATTTTTTGTAGATATGCAAACCCCCTATTTTCTCCCCACACCATCCCCAATTATCTCCTATCGGCATTTATAATTAAGTTTTATCAATTTTTTTTAAAATGGTTTTTTATATCAATTTAAAACAAAAATTGGTTTTTTTTTAATTTCACTTTTTTAAATAGTTCATATTTTAAAAAAAATTGAAATCCACTACATACTCATCGAAAACCACTAAATTTGTCGGAAACCACTATAAAATTAAAGTAAAAATTACTATAAAATAAGCATAATCCACATTAATATTAAGGTAATCTCACTCTGTAATTAATAAAAGTAGTTCTGTAATTAATGAAAATCACTAGATAATTAACAAATTTCATTACTAAAATTCACTAAAAACTTATCAATTAACAAAAACCACTATGTAAATAATTAAAATCACTCTGTTATTAACGAAAACCACTGTATAATTAACGAATTCCATTACGAAAATTCACTCTGTAATTAATGAAAATCATTCTATAATTAATGAAATCACAATGTGCATGTAATTAATTCCACTATGTATAACCAAACATGTTCATACATCTACGATTCTCTCGAGATAACTCCTATTGAGATGTTTTCGAAACCACTATGAAAACCACTCTGTATATTTTCGAAAACCACTATGAAATTAAAGTAATGCACATGAACTTAATGTAATCCATTACAAACTTATCGAAATCTACGTAATTCACAACAAATTAAAGTAATCGACTAAAAACACAACAAAAAGTTAACAGAAAAAAAAAACGAAATTCCTATTCCTGAACCCTAAATCGTCATCCTTCTCCCATGGCCACCGACACCTCCCCAAAATTCCAGAAAACAAAAGCTCATGCATATAATAATAAAAAATAAAAAAAAATTGGTTTGACAGTTATCTCCAATAATTGTGATGTTTTTCCTCAAAGATCCAATCGAAATTCGTACGAACTGTCAACCACTCAAGAAGGTAAAGCCTCTTCTGCCCCTTTTTCATATGTTTTAGTTAAAGTTTAAAGATTAAAGCTTTTTCCGATGTTTTTTGCTGTTCATCATGCGGCAAAAAGATCCTTTTGTTTTTGTTAGTAAACTAATTCCTTAATTTAATTAATTTGCTGGTATGGTTATTCATTATTATCTGTTCTTCTTCGATTTGGGATGCATGTGTTGTTACGATATAATAGGAAAAAATATTACAATCTTTTTTAATTTTTTTTTTAATTTCCAATCATAAAACATACGTTGCTTTTAAGTTAGGGGTATAATAGTGATAATTTATTATTTTTTATTATTTAATGCTGAAATGGATTTATCCCAAAAAGTTCTAAAAAAATTGGACCTATTGTAATTAGACTTATGTAATGGGGGCTTTTGACAAATAATCCCTTAATTTTTTTAAGGCTGCGGCTATATGCAAGACTAATTCCACTTGTGCAAGACCAAATTAAAATTTTCAATGTATAAATACTATAATATCCTTACTTATTAAAAAAATAGAAAATTCCAAATGTGCAAGACCAAAAATTCAAAAACACAAAAAACCCTATACAAGACCACAAAACCACAAGACAAACTCTCATCTTCTCCATCTTCCAAAACCCACAAGACCTTTCTCCTTCCTCCTCCATAAACCCACAAAACCTAGATATTCAAAATCATCAAAACTCAACAAATCTTACAAAGATGGCAAGTATGGAGTCAGAAGACATCAAAATAGAAGATTATACGATGGAAGAACCCAAGAAGCTATGCATTTATCGGTTTTTTTAGCTAGAATATCGATTTTCCAAAAAAAAATCCCGCACGAACGAATTCGACATGTACAGGTCGAATTTTACAGGTAAAATTCGACATTTGAATTTGTACTATAAATTCGACATGTCAATGTCGATTTTTACCTATTCAATTCGACGCTTAAGTGTTGATTTGTAGCATAGTTTTTCGACACCTTGGTGTCGATTTTTACCAGTTTCAAATTTAATTTGTTTTTCCTCTTTTTTTGGGCAAATTTAGGTCACCCATGATTGTGCGTGGCAGGGCTGGCGGCGGCGGCGATCGGCGGCGGAGCTTGAGCGGCGGAAAAGGTAGGCGTAGGTAGGGTTTAGGGGGGGCTGTTTGTTTTTTTAATTCACGCTTCTATGTTTTTTTTTTTTTTTTTTTTCCTCATTATTTGTATTTGGTCTTGCATGAGAGAAAAAAACCAATTTAATTTATGGGCATATTTGTCATTCCATCATAATAAAATAGAATCTTTTAGAATCTTTTTTTAATTTGGTCTTGCACAAGTGGAATGAGTATTGCATATAGCCCGCAGCCTTTTTTTTAAATGTAACCTTTTTTGTGTAAACCGGTAAGAGCATCTCCAACCGGTTTCACCATTTTTTCACCAAATCCTATTTATGGTGGTGAAAAAATGGGTTCATCTCCCACCGGTAGCACACCATTTTACTCTTCCACCATTTTTAGTGGAAAAATAGTGGTTTTGATCTCCAATGGGTATCACCAAAATTTAGACCAAATATTAAAATAATAATATTTCACCATTTCACTACTTATAGGAAATGGAATTTGGTTTGGTCTCCAATGGCATTTCACCATATATACCCCAAAACTATAAATCTAATGTTAATCGTAATTTTATAATATTTTATTTCCTAAATATTAATTATAGAACCAATGCTAAGTAATAAATTTTCTCAACTAAATAATTTAAAAATTATGTTATTAATCTTAAAAAATTATCTAAACATGAAATAACATTAACTCAAATTATTTTAAATATAATAAAATCATACATAAACAATAATCTCATAAATTATTGCATAAATAAAATATTACAACATAAATCAATTTGAAATCATAAAAAAAAAAAGCCATTCACCATTATTATCATCATCATCACCATCATAATCTTCAACATCACCGATTTGAGCACGTTTATCCCACAAGTGTGCTACCAGTCTCCTTCTTAATTCATTGTGTTTTCCTTGATTTATCAGATTTCGATGTCGACCAAGAAAACTAACATATGCCGTATTATTAAAATCTCTCAAAAGCTCAACAGGCGAGATAGAGGACGAACTTTTATAGTCAAGGTTTGTGGGAAATTGAGTATCATCAAAAATATAAGCGTTTCTATATCCACTGCGTTCTTCCTCAACTATCGTATTAGTTAAATAAAGAAATGAACTAATAAACATTGATACCAACAAAATAAACAAATTAATTAAAAATAAGCATATTTATATTTTTAGAGTTAATGTTTTGTTAATAATAACAAATGTATTTATATTTTAAAAACTAATTCAATAATTAATACCAATGTATTTACGATAAATATGCTAATAAGTTGGTAATCGGGTGCAATTAGTTAAAATCGTCATTTTATATGGTACTTAATAAAATGGTGTTAATTACGGCAAATCCTACTTTCACCTCTATATTTGGTAGGAAAAATAGGATTTGGTGGAAAAAATAAGAAAATGGTGGACCAGTGGGAGATGAAAATTTCTTCACCAAAAAATTTGGTGGAAAAATAGGATTTGGGTATTTGGTGATATGGGGGTTGACCACGGTTGGAGACTAAAACCAAATCTCTATAATTTTAGGTGTAATGGTGATATAGGAATTTTGAGTGGGAGGCTAAAAACACCTAAATTAGATGAAAAAATGGTGTTATGGTGTCCGGTTGGAGATGATCTAATGCAATCGTGTGCGATGCATTATTGGCAACGAATATTTGCAAGACGAAAATTACTAAGTGCAAGACCTTACTTCATGCAAGACCAAAATATAAATAAATTTACTAAGATCAAGACTGGAAATTACAAATATAACCCCAATAATAATTTAGATATTATTAATTTAAATTAAGCTAATTGCTATTGCAGGACAAAAAAAAAAAAAAAGGAATAAAAAGAAAAGGAAAAACGAGAGGGAACTCACTCCACCAACAAAACACCAGCATCTTCTTCTTCACCCTCATTTTACACACTTTTTTTCACAAAAAAATCTTCCATATTCTCCAAAACACTTATCACACAAATCCCTCAAATCTTACTAAAACTTGAAAAGAAGGACATTATGGATACACAAGACATAAATATGGAGGATTCTAAGGCCGAATAACACAAAGAGGTGAGAAATATTGTACTTTGTGATCGTTTTTCTTGTTTTTCGCACCTCATTTCACGTACAAAAATTTCGACGTGTACAGGTCGAAATATGCGCCTAATATCGACACAGTAGTGTCGAAAATTTCAACATAATTCGATACTCTTTAACTGTCGAATTATATTGAAATTTTCGACATCATGGTGTCGATATTAGATGCATATTTCGACACTGGTGTGTCGATTTTTCAATGTTACAATTGTGTAACCAATTTTCCGGTTTTTCTTGCAGAGTTTTGTACCTAGCGCGTGTAGTGGAGCTAATGCATGTAGGGAATTAGCTTTGGATTATTCACATGAATTTACCACCTATGAGGAGTTTGCAACAAGGGACAATTTAGTCACATGGGTGCGCGAAGTTGGTATGCGACTAGGAATGATAATGACAGTAAAGTCTTCAAACCCGGGAAAAAATAGACGTAGAAGGCCCTACGTGGTACTTGTATGCGAGCGTGCGGGAGTGTATCGTGGCAAAAAGGTACACGGTCAAGACGACAAAGGAAAGGGAAAAAGGCAAACAGGGTCAAAGAAATGTGAGTGTCCGTTTGAGTTGAAGGGCCAAAAAATGGGCATGGATGATGAAGAAGTTGGGTGGGTGTTGACAG